TTTAAAAAAAATTATATCCGGCTCACTAACACTCTGTTTGGATCATTGCTACTCATTGTTTCATAATGTATTGTATTGTATTGTACTCTATTGTACTGTATTGTATGGTTGTACAATGTTTGGCTAGACTGTATTGTTTGTTGTTGTTTAATAACATTTTTATTGTTTGGTTTGACTGCATCATATTGTATTGTAATTTATGAATTTACTAAAATATCCTTAATTATTCTAGGGTAGGAGGTTTGACTAGAATTAAATAATATAAGGTAAATGGTAAATAATATTATGAAATATTATGTAAAGATATAATTGGAAAAAGAAATTAAGTAACAATGGAAACACACCAAATTGATTGTTTCATAAAATGGGGATTTTCATTGTTACGTAATAATGGAATTTAACAATACAATACAATACATTTTAGTAACAATCAAAACAAACATTGTAGATATAGTAACGATACGATACGATACAATGGATAACAATGATCCAAATAGAGTGTAAATATAAGTTCAATTGCTAAAAAAATAAAAAAAAAATAAAAATCAATTCATTTTAAATATAGTATAAATAATTTTATAGATAATTTAGGGAATTGGAATATCATGGAAGCTAAAAAAAAAAGAGAAGGCCATACATTAAAGATGAGGAAGTTGAGGTCCACATAAATTCAGTAAAACCCAATGTTGACAAAATTTTAAAAAGCAAATGGAACATATTCAAACAAACAAAAAAGAAAAAAGAAAAAGGGGGGGGGGGGGGGGGGGTGGGGGGGGGGGGGGGGGGGGGGGGTTTGTGGGGAATTCAAATCCCCAAGATATTATCATTTTAAAAAGATAAAAAAATAGGTCAGACCCAAGATATTATCATTATCATCATTTTCATCCAAAGCCTGCAGTTACAACCAAACAAATATGCAAATCCAAATTCTTCAGTAAGATTGTGACATTTCTTAATTCCTACCCTCAATGACGGATTCAAAATTTTCATTAAATAGATTCGAAAAATATATATACCATGCCTATCTTAAGATGAATTTTGAACCCCCTAAACCATTATAGTAACTTCTCATCTTGTGTTTAGGAAATTCAAAATCTATATATTTATTAAAAAATTTAAAAATATCTTATATAAGCAGTGTAATTTTTTATCGGAATAATTCGGGTGAACACTTTTCCCCCCTCCTAAATTCGTCCCAACCACTCTATCTTGTTATAATTTGTTCGATTTTCAAGTTTTTCAAAGTAAAAGAAAAGGATACTTATTTTAAAGAGTTAAGACGTTTGAACACGTTGTTAATAAGAAAAAAAGAAGTGATTCTCAAAATAGCATGCTAAATTGTTTTTTTTAATACTGTCTTTTTCCCAAAAGCACTTTTTAAATATTGACTAAATAGTTACTAATAAATTTATGCTTAAACTAAGCTCAATCCAAGACTTCAATATGTATATATACATAAATTAGGTTTGTCCTACTACCTTATTAGACTTTATTTCGTGTCAAATTCAAACTCCTAACGTGCATTTAATTCACATATCACATGTTTTTTCCATTTCAAAACAAAGTTATGAATTTTATTTGAAGTTAGGCATTTTTTCTTATACAAGTAGACTTTCGACATACACATAGGAAATTTGGTTTGTCATTAATGTTTTTTTAGTTTGTCATTAATGTTGCTAAGGCCGAATTTTTATTCCCTTCATCCATTTTTAGTTGTCATGTTGTGTTTTTTAAAAGTCAATTTGACTATTTTTTAGAGTTAAATTAGATTGCATTAATTTAATATTTCAAATAAAAAATTTAGATATTCAAAAATTATACGAAAAGTACTATAAATTGCCAATTTTTGCATATCAATATGATGAAAAAATATATCGTAAAATGTTAGCTAAAGTTCTTATTGTTTGATTCTAAAAAAGAAATCATGTCAATTAAAAATGGATGGAGGAAGTACATGCTTGCATGTATGATTAGAGGCGGAGCCAGAATTTCATGTCAGTGGGTTCTAAATTTTTAAAAAGAACAACGATCTTAACCTAAAGTAACAATCGTCAAATTAACGAACAAATACAAATATTTAATTCACTAAAAACGACGAAATACTTAAACATTATATATATATAAGCATTATCATTACAATTGCACTCAACGAGTTGTCATAGTTTGAAAACGATCAATGATCACATCATTAGGTACACTTTCAAATAATTCATCTCTATTTAACAAACTAAACAATCATTTAAAAAGTCATCTCCCATTCTGCTTCGCAAGTCATTTTTAATGAAAGATAAATGTTTTTTAAAATTCAAATTTTGAACATTTTTAGTATAATCTCCAATATTATTCTAAGTGAGATTAAAATTATTAAATTCAACATTAATATTTTGGCACCTAAAACAAATATTTTACTAGTTTCACTATCATCTTGAACCATTAATGCCATCAAAAGTTAAATTTTTTAAAAGCAAACAACAATTAATTTAATATAATCAATTATCAATATGTTGGATAACCCTAGAATCAAAGATTAAAAATCAATTTTTGAATAACTAATTGTACAATGTCAAAGCAAACAAATAAGGAAAAAAAAAAGGGAGAGACAAGAGTACACACCGGAGACCAGATGTTGGATAGCAGCAATTAGATTAGAACCCTAACTTTTGAAAAAAAAATGAGTTAACTTTTTGAATGTGAGTAGAAATCAATAGTGAGATATTGTAGTTTCAGAGTATGATACAAATACTATTTTTCTTTTTCTTTTTTCATTTAACAATATTTTTTAAATTTTATTTTGTATAAACCCACCTATACCGATATTCTATTTTTTTAATTTTTTTTTATATATAAACACGCATTCTATTTATATATAAAACGTATTTAGAAATTATCCCAAAAGAACGCATTTAACAATTATTATTATTATTATTTTTTGTATAAACCCACCTATACCGATATTCTTTTTTTTTTTCTTTTTTTTTAATATATAAACACGCATTCTATTTATATATAAAACGTATTTAAAAATTATCCCAAAAGACGTTTGGCTACCCGGGATTCGAACACACATCCCACGCGGACGATGGATTTCGCTGGGTGCGCAGTGACCACTGGGCCAAATGCCTCAGTATTATTATGGGTTCGCAGAAAATATATATATACATTTTACTTCAGAATTTAATACAAATGAAAAAGTCAGTGGGTTCGGCCGAACCCCATAGGCTACTGTAGCTCCGCCCCTGTGTATGTTTGAATTTTAAGACATAAATGTTCAAAATTAAGAATAATTTTTTTTAAAGTTAGAAAAAATTACGCACTACCACTCTTCATTCGTGCTAATGTTTTAATACTTTCAAATAATACTTGTTTGATTTAAATTCACTTTTTATATTTGAAATTTAACTCACTTCTTCAATTTTATAACAATATCCTTATCGGAAAAGTCACAACTCATCGAAAAAATTACAAACTAAGTTAAGGATATTATAATAATTTAACATTCAAATTAAGAGTTCATGCTTTTAAGGTAATATAATATATATATATATATATATATATATATATATATGTGTGTGTGTGTGTCTTAAATTTCATATATGTTCATATTAGGAGTGAATAGAGCTGTCAATATGGGCTAGCCCACCCCATTCGGGCTAACCCATACAGGCT